TTTATGTCCTTAGAGCTTTTTGATCTCTCACTCTCCCAGCAGGAGGCTCAAGACTGTCTGTGAGAGATGCTTCTGAAAGTTCTGACAGCTTTTATATTATCTCTCAAAAGAGAGACAGGATAATCAGCAGTAAATATGTGAAGTTTCCCACATGGATGTTCTCAGCCTCCCCACCTACCAGGTCACTTTGTGCAAATCTATCACCCTGCTCTCCAAGTCTTTCCATTTCAACCTTTTCCTCCCAACACCTGGGAAACAGCAATGTGTGGAAACAGCCCACAACTTCATCCCTACCTTCTCCTCCCCTCCATTACCCAGTCTAGGGTCCACGGCCTGCACACAGCAGCACAGGCAGATGAGGAACACATCTCAATCTCACAGGGGCCCTCAGCTCATGCAGTGCCCATCTCTGTCCTAAGATGCAGTGCTGAGATATTTCAGAAGTTAGAATTCCAATCAGCCATACTCAGGATGCACAGTAGTAAATTACTTAAGGTTGAGTTTGTGCAGAAGACGTAGGGCTTCACTGTTAATTCACATTTCTGCCATGTATGGATAGATGTAATCTCTGTCCATCAATGCCTTCCCAACAGAAGCCTTTGACAAAACCCATGCCCAAGGGGGACTGCCAGACAGACAAAGGAAGATGGACCCTGGTGAAGACAGGGTCTGCCATGGATAGCCCACAGATCACAGAGTCATCAAAGGCTTTCGGTTAGACAGTCTTGTCCCACTCGCTGCCATCCCCAGACCCAGCTGCTCAAAGCCCCACTGTCACCAAAAACTGGGAAATAAACTCTCCAACCAATTTCCTGCATCAAGAAGCTGACATTACTTTATTAGAGAGCTGGATGCATGGGGATGTCTCCTCTAAGCGTGCCCACTAACCTAATAGGCAAGGCTGTATTCTGAAAACTAGTACATATTCATCACTTTTTTGAATACATGCACATAGGTTAAATATTTCCATCAACTTGTTTGGATATGGTTCCAGATCTTCTGATGAATCTTTTCTTTTTGAGAGTATCCCAAATATGTAGTCAGGTCATAAAGTATTACTCCATCATTCTTCACTCTGACACACAATCCTTGTACTCAAAAGTAGGATTGTGACCGCAGACTGTGGCCACCGGGTAGAAAGTCACCAGCTAGCACACTTCCTGTGGCCACAGGGCACGCATGAAAGTGACCGCCCCCAGATCTCGCCTGAGACCTCTGCAAGTGATGGTGGTTGCAGGGAGTTTGTGGCTCCCTGCAGCAGGCTGTGGCGTGGGTAGCACAGCAGGGAAACCGGGTATGAGGAACCGAGACAAAGGAAATTGGGAGAGATTACTCGTATTAATCCAAGGAAGGTTTATTCCCGGGAGGGTCAGAGAAAATAGGTCTGATTAGCATTTTTAAAGAGGGGATGGTACAAGGGGTGGATACAACTCTCATGCAATGAGGGACTCTTAGGGGAGGATTACATCATTAAACAAATCCAATAGGGATTATTCAGGGGAGGGAAGAAGACTTACAAGCCAATCAACCATCGAGACAGAGCTAACTGTCACAGAACATTTGAGAACAAAAGGGGAGTGACAAGAATGATTGACAAGAGTAAGGGGCAGGACAACTGAGACTGACAAGGGCTTATTAGGGAATGAGGGGAGGAGCAGGGAGACTGACACACTGATGGGCAGACAAGATGTCAGAAAATTTTGTGGTAAATAACTTAGGACTTAACCATTAGAGGGAACAAAATGGGGTATATGGGAGAAACCATTACAACTGACCAACATAGAAGGTCTAACTTTCATATTAAAACAACTGTAAAAACACCAACTACCACATAGGATATTGGCTACTCCATATTAATCACCAATATAAGAAAATGAGGAAGCATTAGGCCACATTAATCTCTGGTATTTGTACTAAGCACTGCCTGCTGCAAAACTAAGCATTAACTATGAATATAGGGATCATACACTAGGTGTTAGGTCAAAAGAATTTTCCAACATCTTCCCCCACTGCAGCAAAAACTTTCTGAAGAAACAGAACTTGTTCCATAGCAAATCTCCACTTTGAGACTTTAATATAATTTCTTTAAAGTGCCATATCCAGTTATTATATTGACCAAGTCTGCACAGCAGTAAGCAGTGAATTAAACAACAATTGATTAAGGTCATGAGTATCACATCACATCACATCACATCACATCACATCACATCACATCACATCACATCACAGTAACTACAACAGGTTGTTTCAACTATCCTAACCATCTGGAAATGAGAAATTACCCACCCACTAAAACAGCCAAGAGAAATCCAGTCATTCTCTGTCTATAGCACTTGTGGCTAGTTTCTTTAGTTGTTTCTTTCTTTTCTATTAGTCAGGACTTATGGGAAAGATTGAACCAACACATCCCATTAAATTCTTCACATCCTGATTGTGTCTCAACACCAAGTCGTCAATTGCTGCTCAGTTTCCAAGGGCAGCTTCTCTGATTTGTGTCATTTCTGTACTTAGGGCTCTTAATGCTTGTGAAGTGTAATTTACATCTTTAACTAAAGCACACATTGTTTTCTTTATGGTGTGATAGTTCACAGCTACCCTGAGTCCAGGTGTTCAAAAGGCAGCAGTGACCAGCTCACTGTAACTATAAAGGGTAACTTGAGGATCACTGTCCTCTGTCAACTGATAAGATGAACACTTTTCTCTTTCATGTTTCAAACCTTCTTGGTCAAGTAGTAGAGGAGTTAATCTACCATAAGCACGGGGTTCTCCTGTTCTCCAACAGAAATATTGGCCAGAACATATGAGTAGGCCAGTCAGCCGCACAGCAAAACCCATCCTAGAGGTAACTTTGTGTGCTCCCAGGCATAAGAGATTTGTTCTGTGCTATTGCATTTTAAGGTAGGCTGCAGCTGTGCAAGATGTTAACATTTAGAGGAGCAGTTGACAAATGTTATACACTGCTTTTCTCTGCACAGCCTGATTGTGGCAAGCGCTGATCCCAACTTGTGAATCACGTCAGTCCTGCATGTCTGGAACAGCAGTTTGGCCCTGCCAGTACTGAAGAAATATACAGATTTCAAAAGGGTGTCATGTCTTTGACCACACTCATGGACCAGGTAATGGAGAGGAGGAGAAGGAAGGGATGAGGTTGTGGACTATTACTCCCAAAGTGAAGATTGTTTCTCATATTCACTGCTGCCACTCTTTGCGTCCAAGATCTCCCTGATGGCCATTGGCTGCAGAATAGCCAGGGATGTCTTCATCAACTACAAGAGAAAGGACACAAAGTAAAATCCCACCCACAGTTTCTCAACCTTTTTCACTGAGTAGACTGGAAGTGTTGCCACAGAATAAAGGATGACTTGGAGGCCGAGGTCTGGATGCACAACACTAATGAGTCTAAAGAAGAAGGGGAGGTGGCTCACAAATGGAGCCAGGAGCAGCCACTAAGATGCAGTGGAGCTCCTGCAGGGTGTCCATCTGACTCTCATGCCGAGGGAGAGAGGGCAACACATCCCCACTACACAGGCCTGGGGACATATAGAGAACAGGAGGTAATAAGGAGCAGAGTAGAAGATGGAAAGAACATCAAAAGCTCTGACATGTCCCCTCACGTTGCAGTTATTAGGCTTGTGAGCAAGAAGCACAAGAGCGGTGCCCATTTCCTGAAAACTTTGTCATAAACAATCCAATCAGAAATGACCTAAGTGAACATCACCTGGCCACAAGGGATGCCACCAGCCCTTGATCAGAGCGTTCTGCCTGTGCTGACATTTTCTGCCTCGGAAATCACTGACCATCTCATCACAGCAATTACACAAAGAGACCTTCATATAGGAAGTCATATGGCAGAAGCCAGGAAATGAAAAGGCAGCAATGCAGGAAAACAGGACACAGTCCAATTATTGGCTTGGATGGTTAGCATTTGCCATGAGCTGGTCACAAAATAACCACTTCCACAAAGGAGCCTCTGAGCCTGAGGCAGGGCAAGACTGCTATAAAAGGGAGCCGAAGTCTCTGCTCTCTCATCCACTTCTCTCACCTCCTCCTCCTCAGGAATCAGGTGAGTGCAAAGCCCCTTCTCCTCCTCCTCCTGCTGCTGCTTCAAGAGCAGCTCTTGCCTGGCTGAAGGTCTCAGAATTGAGGGGCTGTTGGAGCTCAGGGCTGGGAGCTGCTTGTGCTGGGAGAGGGCAGGGGAGAGAAGGTCTTGTGCATACAGAGAGAGGCTGGGACTGGGCTGAGAACACTCCTGGGCTTTGAGCTGGGCCAGGAGGTGCCTTGGCTGCAGGGTGTTTGGGTGCAGTGCTGCTTCTCATGTGTCCTCACTTTGTGCTTCTCCCTGCCCTTTTTGCCAGGTGCACCTGTGAGCCCCAGCCATGTCCTGCTGCAAGCCCTGCGACCCTTGCTGCCAGCCCTGCGGCCCCTGCCCGCTGGCCAGCAGCTGCACTGAGTGCTGTGTCACGCAGTGCCAGAGCTCCCACGT